TGTGGGGATGGGGTTTCCATCAATTGTCTGTTTTTTACTCAAAATTAAATATTTGAACTTTTCAATTCTTCAGCAATCACAAGTCTCTCACCTGCAATCAAAGGTTGATGATTTACAATCACAGCAGGAAGTTATACTTGCAAGACATCTGGGTCCTCTTCAAGAACAATTAAGAGCTCATGCTCAAACTGTAGGAATTTTGGTGGGGGAAAAAACTGAGCTAGAAGCAGCAATTAACCACCACACAGCTACAGCCAAGCAACATGCAAGTGAGTTAAATTTGATTAATTGAAAATGTGGTATAAACCATATTTAGATATTTCACATGCTCTCATTAATCACTTTTATCAAAGGTGAAGTTGAAGAGCTACAGAATCGCTTGAGAGCTTCTCGTCATCGTGTAAGTGAACTTGAGAAAGAACTCACATCAGTGACAGCATCTGCCTCAGCATCTAATAAACAGACGACTAATCATGTTCAAGCGATAGACCAGTTGCGTTTGCAAAATGGAATGCTGGCGTAAGATTATCTCTCTAATGAATAAAATTGTTTTTGTTTCTGTTGTTGTTTTTTGTCAGTAATATTAATATTGTATCTTTTTCAACAGCAAACAGTTAGACGATGCAGAAGAGGAAGCCTCAGAACTGCGTCAGAAATTAGGTGCTCGTGTGTCTGAAGTTGCTTCACTTGCAGCACAGCTGCAAGAGAAGCAATCCCAACTTTCACTGTCCCAGTTACGGATCACACAGGTATATAAATGCATCTGTAACGTGATTAAACTATACTTGCTCTTTAATACTTGAGGACCAAACAGAAATATGTATATACATTTATTTCTCCTCGTAGCTGAGTTCATCTGATAATCCAGAGGCCACTGCTGAAATTGAGTCCTTGCATCAGTTGAAGATATCATTGGAAAGAAGGTGCACAGAATTGACTGAAACTGTCCGACAGTTAAGTGCTGATCGTGACCAGGCTGACCAACAATATCAGCAATATGTGGCACAGCTCAATGGACAACTACAGACTGCTCAATCTAAAGTAGGTTTGGTATAGCAAATTTGTTACAGTATTTGGACTTTTAAACAATTCCTTATTATTATTTTTCAATGGTTGATTCAGCTTGAGTCGGTGAACATGGAGAATGACAGATTAAAAAATCGAGAGGAAGACTTGGTCCGAAATATGTCCGAGCTGGAAAGACAACTTCAACAGCAAATTCAATTACACCAGCAGCAACAGCAACAGTTGCAACACAACCAATTCCAGCAACAGGCTCAACAAGAACCCGATCAAAGGCCTGATAACCAAGTAAACCTTGAAGACAAAATCTCTGAATTGCAAGAGGAGAGGCAGAGACTCCAATCATCATTGGCATCTGAGGTTTGGTTCATTGAAATGAAAATTTTTTTCACTTGAGTAACAACCCACTTCAATTGTAATTTGTCTCATTAAACTATTTGCTGTTTTTTACAGACTCAGGAATTAGCTAATCTCCGCCTCAAACTGGAAGAGAAGGATGCACATATTGCAGATCTAGAAACTCTTTGTAATGAAAGACCAGATCAGTCTAGGCTTCTAGCTGCCATGGAGAGTGACAAGGTTGCTGCTGCTCAGGCTACATCCCAGAACACTGTTCTAAAACAACAACTTCAGGAATTACAAGATGGTTTCATCAAAATGGTTTGTATTTCTGTAATTTGAATACCCTATTTGAAATGTTAAATTCTATTTGACCTAGGTATATGTTTTTGTTTAACACCAGAGTAACGATAAACTAAACTTAACAGAAAGTTTAGAGCATGAGAAACATGTAAATAAAGAGATGGGAGAAAAAATTTCACAACTTGCTGAAGAGTTACATGAACTAAGGTGAGAAATAACCTCCTTTTTTCAGAACGCGCAGGGTACAATTTAGATGGATCCTCTACAGCTGCAAGATTATTATTTCTTCTACTTAAATTTTGGAAGTATGTATAACCCTTAAACTCTTTTCCACTGTCTTAGGGTTTTGGTTTCTGAAAAAGAACGGCGACTTCAGGAGTACCGAGAGCATGAACTAGAACACAGCCATGATGATCAAAATTGTAATGGAAGTCATGATCACAATGTAAGTCATGGCAATAATATGAAGGAAAGTTCAGATCATATTCATGATAAGCAGCAAGCGCATGTGACTTCTAGCTTACAAGAACAACTAAGTCAAGCTCATGTATGCATATCCCAAAGAAAATTGGAGTTTTAAGATGATTTATATTCCATACATTTATTGTTTTTGTTTTATTTCATAGGAACACATTCATAATCTCAGTAGTCAGAACAATAACTTGCGCAGGTTGATAAATCAAAAATCTACCGAGAGCCATGAGTCTGGAAGCAGCAGCAGTGCTACAGAAGAAGTTACAACAGATGATGCTGCTGCTGATCATGACACAAGTATGTTACAGCTATTATGTACAGTTTTCCTGTTATATTTCTATATTGCGTGCCAATGCATTTTTCTCAACGCAGGAAGTTATTTTATTATTACATTTTTCCTTTGCAGATTGTGAAGATGCTTCAGATAACCATGCAAATTACAATTGTATGCAGTATGCAATGGAAAAGCTCCAAGAACGTTTTACACGTACCATGGGAGAAGTAGCAGAACTGTCTGATGAAAAACAGCGTTTGGAACATCTTGTCTTGCAGCTTCAAGGAGAGACTGAAACTATTGGTATGACTTCAGGTACTCATTTCTTTCCGACTGTGGGGTCTCCATTTATTTATTGTAAATTTAAAAAAATACTTTTAGGAGAGTATGTTGCCCTCTACCAAATGCAACGAGCTGCACTCCAGCAAAGAGCTCGAGAAAAGGATCATCAATTAGCGAGTCTTTCAGCGGAGCGTGAAGATTTACGCCGTAAGCTACAAGAATTGAATCAACTTATTCAACGCTTGCTAGAGGAAAGAGGAACTGAGACAGCCAAAGAAGCTCTTCCTGTACTTGAAGGACTCAAAGAGAATTCTACTTTAAGAAATGAAACTGGTATGTATTTATTTTAAAACATACTGTGAATTTGAATTTTTTGCACGCTTGATTCAATGCTTCTTTTTTATTTCAGATGTGATTGAGGTTCCTCACATCGCTGATCACGTTGACCAGGATGTTACCAGTGACGTAGCCAAACGACTGTCAAAGAAGATAATGGATATAATTGAAGACATTTCAGTGACTAATGATGTTGAGACATCTTTCCACCCATGTCCCTGGTGTTCAGGAAGACTCATAAATGTTTGAACTATTTTTATCATTTTTATCAGTCCATCAGTCAGACTGGTAGAAACAAATTTTGGCTTTATGAAACTTTCTCTACTTAACATTTTTCAGTGAGAGAAATTAATTACCATTTCGTTCTTGCATCTCTTATACCAAAAAAATGTCATCACTGTTTCTAAATTTTCTAAATTGCCAGTATTGTGGAAAAATGGTGGGTGTATTTTGTATTTATACCAGAGATAAATGCTCTGTTTATACTAGACTTTTAATGTCAAATATTATAACTAATGTATTTGAAGAAAAAATATTTTTAAAGTTACCACATCCTGAATGAATGTCTGTGAATTATTTTCTTATAGTTTTCATAAGAAAATATTATTTAATATTAGTTTGAGCTTTTTAAGATGAAAATCAGTCTTAAGTCCTAGGGTTTTATCAAGTTCAGGCAATATGCCGACGATCAGCACAACGGCATATCGCCTTAACTTTGATAAAGTCCATTTTGTTCTTTTTTTGTTGCTTTCTCCTCTTAGTCCATGGAGGTTTAATGTACAATGTGTCATAGTGTGGCAAATATATTTATTTGTGTCTGTTACACTTGTGTGTTATCATTTAAGACCATTTGCAACAACTTTTGGATAGAGAAAAAATATTTTTTCTGACTGATCTCCGGGCGGAGAAGTGGAACTTCCCTCTTAAAAATGCTGGGCAAATCCCCTGCAGCAAGCATTTTTCTGTCTGACTGAACCGATTGAACAGAGTGTACATAACATACATGAGGACGGAGGGTCTGACCACAAGTGCTTAAACAATACCCTCCATTGTTGCAAATGCGCTGGGGCCGCTGGGGCCCGGTCTCTGACGTGGGGAAGGGGGTTGGGGATCCCATGTTTCTGGGGTGTCAGAGGTCGCGATGGGGGGCGGCAAAGGAGGGGGCGCCCTGACGAGCGCGGCCAAGGCCGCCGTCGCGACCAGGCAGGCCAGGACGGCGCCGTGGAGGCGGCACCCGAGGCCGGCGGACCGCGCGCTCCTGGAGGCCAGGAAGGTGGCCGAGGCCATGGCGGAGGTGGCGCGGCGGGCCGCGTGGCGCTCGGCCGACCGCGTGGGCGGCTACGCGGCCGCGGCGGCGCGCAGGGCGGGCCAGTCCGCCGCCAGGATGGCGTCGGCGGCCGGCGAGTCGCTGCGCACGGCGGCCGCGTCCAAGGCGGAGGAGGCCAAGCTCGCGGCCCTGCGCGGCGCGCGCCACACTGGGGCGGCCGTCGGGCTGGCTGTGAGGCGTGCCGTCGGACTGGCGGCCGCACAGGTGCGTCGTCGGTCGTCGGTGGGTGAACACCGAGGAGTCCTTCACTCAAAAAAATCAGTGTACACCCACCAAATATATAATTTAAAAAATCAAATTAAAAAATAAGGGAAAAATCAATTTAAAAAAATCGGGAAAAATCAATTTAAAGATCATTTAAAAAATCAGAGAAAGACAGACAAAAATCAAGAAAATACAGAAAAATCGATCTACGCTTGTATTCATAGTAAAGGACTCCTCGGTGAACACTTGAACACTCCGGTGACGGTCGAGACGAAACGGTTGTGCAGGTACAGCGCATCATCAACGACAGCTCCCTGAGGCTGATGCAGACCGTCGCCGACCTGGCTACTCGCACCGTCTCTAGGCAGGTGAGCGTAATGTACCACTACTGGCACTGGCGCCTCGGCCATTGACCACACACCAAAGTCTGTTTGCAGTAAATAGCACACCGAGTCTGTTGCAGGTCAAAGCAGATGTAGAGACCAAGACGAGTGATACAGAGAGAAGAGAGTTGAAGAAACTGAGTGGTAAAGGAACTGACAGTATACTAAAGAAACATTGTGAACGTCAAGATATGAAATAATACAATCAAAAAGTGAAGAGTGATGCACATTTCATTTCACAAAAGCAGGCAAAATCTACAATTGAAATCAAATTTACAATAATGATTACATTAATAACAAGAATCTCACAAAACAAACCAAAACAATAGAAATTAATATCGAGGGACTTTAAAAGATGGCTCTGAATCTTTTGAAGTGGATGGTCCCTTCCTTTTTTGAATGATATTTTGAATTTTTTGCCATTCTCTATCCAACTCTGCCTTTTCATTCTTTTCCTTGTTGAATTTTCTTGTCCTCCTTCCATCAGCCATTTTGACACCATACTGGAAAGCAGCCTGTAATGAAGCAGCATGGAAAAAATGTTAATGCAAATGATTTGTATGATGATGTAAAAAGACAGTTCAGAAGGTTTAAGTCACTATTGTGTAAGCAAACAGCCCAAATTTTACCTTTGGTAATGCCTCTTTATTATTCATGTACTCAGAGTACTCTTCTTGGGTATCAAAGTCCCATCTCCCGACTGGTCCTTTCTTGTTGCCCAAATCCATCTTGGTGTAATCAACCTAGGACAAAGAAAAGATTTTTTAAATATTTTTTTAAAAATGTGAATGATGTTGAAGACTGATCTAGTTTAAATGAAGTGCTAAGGCCGGCAGAGAGAACATACCTCATCGTCAGAATCATCAATGGCGTCTTGCATTTCCTCAAGACCAGGGTAGCATTCTGCATATCCCTCAGGTTCAGCAGCCAAGCGGTTAAGTAGCATTCCTTTGGCCTTCAATCCCTCACCCTTACTGCTTAAGTGTAGAAAGAGTATTTTTTAATTAAAACAAGTTCATTTGAATGTGCAATGGAGGTAAAAATGGAGGGTTGCTGGTGGTTACACAGCGGGATCAGGAAATTTACCTGCTACTTCCTTCACCAGCAAGGGCATTTGCAAGAGCAGATGGATTAGGAATTGAACGTGAAACTGAAGGGCCATCATCAATGTCATGTTCTGATTTACTGAAGTAGGGAGCTCTCTTCTTTGCTCTTTGTTCAGCGGCTAAATGCGAAGTTGCTGTGGACGGCTCATATTCTGCTAAATCTGGGTATATATTGAGTTCATCGTCACCCATTCCACCTCTTTTACCAGATTTGTCCTTCCTTCTCCCCTTCTTGCCATGCCGCCCTGTTAGAAAATAATAAAACTTATTTTCTTGTACTGTGGAGTTGCTTTCAAAATTGCCATAAAATTTTAGGTAACATACCTTGACGTAAATATGACAAAATCTGAGCAAGTTTGTTGATGACAATGTCATTTGTGGTCAAAGTAGAATTAGTCTGCAGACTTGGAACATCAGCTTTGCTCCGAATAAGTGTTGTAGGAATGTCAGTCTCTGCAAAGTCACCTTCTAATTCAATGACATAGGCCATACGCCCTGGTGCAAACATTTCATTCATTTCTATTTTTTGTGATGGAATTGCAGCTCGAAAAATATTTCTTCCAAGTTTAGTCTAAAAAGATAGATAGATAATTAAGAAAAGTGCATAATACAAGACAAAAGTGAGATATAAAACTATAAAACAGCTACTAGCCTTGAATGCCATTTCTTTGTCTTGAGGAACTTCTTTTTTTATCTCTTCTTTTCGCTCCACAGGTTTCACAGTTGCAAGTCTCTCAAGTTCTTCATCCTCTTCAGCTTCTTTTGAATGGATTTCAGACCTTACTTTTTGCAAGAGAGCATAATCTAAACCTTTCACCAAATGGGTGTGTTCCATGTCACCACCCAAGAATTTGGATTCCTGAATCATTTGCCTACGCCTCTCAGCAGCATCCAAACCTAAAGACAATGTAATAAATTTATAATATTTCCATGTTTAGGCATAATCTAACTGAGCAGTCGTTCTAACCCTTGCATATGTTGAAGTTGAAGATTTAAACTACACTAACCGGATTTCAAATCAGGAGCAACAGCCCTGTATCCGCTCGCAGCAGATAAAGGATCTTCAGGTTGGTCTTGTCCTCCATCACGTCGCTCTCTAGCACGATCACGATACTTTTGGGCTAATTCTGCCATTTTATCCTCTTCTTGTTTCTTAAGTTTAGCATAGAAGCTCTTTTTCTTACGCCTACGCTCAGCTCTATCATCTGTGTCATCCTCGGCAGAAGTCTAGAGAGTTAACATATCATGTTACAATCCAGTGATGAAAATAGACAAATTTATCGTCAGAAACTTTGCTTACCTTGCTGAGTCCACTGTCTTTATCTTTCATGGCAGATTGTAAGAGAGATGAAAGGGGCGGGAGCGAAGAAGGTGCTCCCGCCCTTGGGGTCATAAGTAATCGTCGGAAATCATCATTGGTAAGTCGTGTCGACTGCTCTCCAAGCTCAGAATCCCCATCTCGCTCTGGCATGTTGCTATAGGTATCTAAATTAAAATCATAAAATGAGGTTAATTAGTTGTTTCAAATTATTAAAATCTGATATGTTGAGAGATAGTGAGGAGGCAAAACTAAAGTTAAAGCGTATAGCTGTTACAGGGGCAGCATCTAAAACTATTGATAAAAATGAAAGTGAAACCATTCTTGTTTTTCATGGAGAAAACTTACCTGGACGTCCTCGACGTCAAACGTTTAGAAGTCCAAAATGGTTGCGGAAATGTAAATTTCCGAAAGACTACAAAACCACTTGGAAGTGTTGAAAATTAATGCATACTCAGAAGTCAATGTACAATTATACAAGCCTCTCGGCTTGTATTTTTCTTCAGGAATTTTTAACAATATTTACTCCACCACAACATTTAAGCAACAACAAAAACAATAATCAACAACAACATAATGTGACAACTGACAGTCGTTTTGGGGTTCGGCTTAGTTTTTCATACCGGAAGTGGAGTGAGTCTGGAAGAGGATAGTGATAGTGGGGGTAGCTTTAAAAGCAAGCGGAGAAGCACCAAAAATTGCTAACATAGATTAGAGTTGGAATAAGTGGTGAAATAAATTTGATTTATGTGTTTACTTTTTTTGAACTTAAGACGCTGCGCTCCTTAAACTTTATTATCAACTTTTTTTCACTTTCGGAACAATATCGCTGACCCCTCTGAAACATCCGACTATGTTTTGCTTGGATTTCAAATCATAAAAAATCATGTCTCCTCTGAACCGGCCGTAGGGGAAGACTGGAAAGTGTTCCCAGCGTTGTAGAAGCTCGGTGCTCAGATTGTGGAAAATGTACGTACCCTGCGAACCAATAAACACGTTGGAGCAGAAATAAAGAAGAATAAATGGGAAAATTGACATAGATGACTAGTTTCTTGCGAAAAATAGATTGTATTCAGAATGTACGTGACTTTTACAGGGAAGTCACAGTCCATTCGAACCACATTGATTTGAACAAAGGGTTGTCAGACTTGTCGACTTTAACCGGGGGTATCGTGTTACAGCGGCATTGCGTGCTCGTTGCAATGCCGTGATATAGGCCTATAACGCGAACCACGACACGACAAGTAGTCACCGAGATGAGATAACACATCTACTTATTTTGGGTTTTGGAGGCAATTAATTAACGTCACCGAGACGGCAACTTTACTCTGTTTGACCTCCTGATCGGCAATATGTGCTCAAATCAACGAGGAGAACGCGCTTACTTTGGGGATCGGGCAGCTCTTGGGGAACTTGGGGTTGTTGCGGTTCACCACCGAGGCGGCGTCCCTCCCGATGGAGACCATCACGTTGCAGTACTCGCCGCCGTCCATGCGGAAGAAGTTCTCCCTCCAGCCGGCGACGCTGTCCCACTTGGCGACGGCGACTTTGAGCTGCTGGGACGTGAGTTTTCCAATGAGTAGAAGAGGGCAACAGTGTTACGCTAAAGTGACACTAGCAGCGCAGTGTGTAGAGTTGGAAACCCTCCGGAGAATTAACGGAAAATTTCCTAAAATTTCCGGAAAAAAGGAAAATTATTTCCCAGACACCGGAAAATTTTCCGTCTTTTCTGGATATTTTGGAAATTTCCTACCCTAACAGTGTGTCCTCACCCCGAGGTCGCCGAAGTCGACGTCCCTCGTCACGAGGGCCAGCCCGTCGAACACCGCGGCCTTGGTGAACTTCGAGTGGTGGAGGGCGCCCGTCAGGTTGGCCACCAAGCGGCCCGGGGTGACGGTGCCTTCGGGGCACTGGGTCGCCTCTTTGAACAGAATGGTGAACGGGCCCTGCGGGGAACACACGTCCAAGCTGTTTATCGCCATCGCCCTGCCCTGGAGGTGCCCCCCGCAGAGGAAACGTTTTCCGAGGCGACGCCGAGGCGACCACGACGCCTGCAACGCGTAGGGTAGGCCAGCCCGCCAGGCAGCTGTGTGCAGACGGCGGCCCGCCCCGAGCGCCCAAGTGCAGGTAGCTCGGTGCCCAAGGTCTATAGGGCGAACGCCCACTCTGCGAGCACCTCCTTCAAGGCCCGCTAAATGATGGTCGAGTGGTCCGTCGAGCACTTACGGCGTAGGAATTGATGGAGGAACGCATCGTGGTGAGGGCGAACACTGCGGGCACGACGACGCAGAAGACGAGGACGGCCAGCGCCGCAATGCTCATGCTGAGCTCGCGGCTCGCGCGGGTCCACTAGGACCGGCGCGCCCGTCCTCGCATGTCCCATAGAACACGGCCCGGTACTACGAACTTGGCCCGGGCCGTGTTTGCTCTTCTGTGTAACTAATAACATCCAGCTCGTGCCATGCGCTTTAGTGACGCCAGTAACGTTCACTGCCCCCCCCCCCTTATCACGTCGCTCTCTAGCACGATCACGATACTTTTGGGCTAATTCTGCCATTTTATCCTCTTCTTGTTTCTTAAGTTTAGCATAGAAGCTCTTTTTCTTACGCCTACGCTCAGCTCTATCATCTGTGTCATCCTCGGCAGAAGTCTAGAGAGTTAACATATCATGTTACAATCCAGTGATGAAAATAGACAAATTTATCGTCAGAAACTTTGCTTACCTTGCTGAGTCCACTGTCTTTATCTTTCATGGCAGATTGTAAGAGAGATGAAAGGGGCGGGAGCGAAGAAGGTGCTCCCGCCCTTGGGGTCATAAGTAATCGTCGGAAATCATCATTGGTAAGTCGTGTCGACTGCTCTCCAAGCTCAGAATCCCCATCTCGCTCTGGCATGTTGCTATAGGTATCTAAATTAAAATCATAAAATGAGGTTAATTAGTTGTTTCAAATTATTAAAATCTGATATGTTGAGAGATAGTGAGGAGGCAAAACTAAAGTTAAAGCGTATAGCTGTTACAGGGGCAGCATCTAAAACTATTGATAAAAATGAAAGTGAAACCATTCTTGTTTTTCATGGAGAAAACTTACCTGGACGTCCTCGACGTCAAACGTTTAGAAGTCCAAAATGGTTGCGGAAATGTAAATTTCCGAAAGACTACAAAACCACTTGGAAGTGTTGAAAATTAATGCATACTCAGAAGTCAATGTACAATTATACAAGCCTCTCGGCTTGTATTTTTCTTCAGGAATTTTTAACAATATTTACTCCACCACAACATTTAAGCAACAACAAAAACAATAATCAACAACAACATAATGTGACAACTGACAGTCGTTTTGGGGTTCGGCTTAGTTTTTCATACCGGAAGTGGAGTGAGTCTGGAAGAGGATAGTGATAGTGGGGGTAGCTTTAAAAGCAAGCGGAGAAGCACCAAAAATTGCTAACATAGATTAGAGTTGGAATAAGTGGTGAAATAAATTTGATTTATGTGTTTACTTTTTTTGAACTTAAGACGCTGCGCTCCTTAAACTTTATTATCAACTTTTTTTCACTTTCGGAACAATATCGCTGACCCCTCTGAAACATCCGACTATGTTTTGCTTGGATTTCAAATCATAAAAAATCATGTCTCCTCTGAACCGGCCGTAGGGGAAGACTGGAAAGTGTTCCCAGCGTTGTAGAAGCTCGGTGCTCAGATTGTGGAAAATGTACGTACCCTGCGAACCAATAAACACGTTGGAGCAGAAATAAAGAAGAATAAATGGGAAAATTGACATAGATGACTAGTTTCTTGCGAAAAATAGATTGTATTCAGAATGTACGTGACTTTTACAGGGAAGTCACAGTCCATTCGAACCACATTGATTTGAACAAAGGGTTGTCAGACTTGTCGACTTTAACCGGGGGTATCGTGTTACAGCGGCATTGCGTGCTCGTTGCAATGCCGTGATATAGGCCTATAACGCGAACCACGACACGACAAGTAGTCACCGAGATGAGATAACACATCTACTTATTTTGGGTTTTGGAGGCAATTAATTAACGTCACCGAGACGGCAACTTTACTCTGTTTGACCTCCTGATCGGCAATATGTGCTCAAATCAACGAGGAGAACGCGCTTACTTTGGGGATCGGGCAGCTCTTGGGGAACTTGGGGTTGTTGCGGTTCACCACCGAGGCGGCGTCCCTCCCGATGGAGACCATCACGTTGCAGTACTCGCCGCCGTCCATGCGGAAGAAGTTCTCCCTCCAGCCGGCGACGCTGTCCCACTTGGCGACGGCGACTTTGAGCTGCTGGGACGTGAGTTTTCCAATGAGTAGAAGAGGGCAACAGTGTTACGCTAAAGTGACACTAGCAGCGCAGTGTGTAGAGTTGGAAACCCTCCGGAGAATTAACGGAAAATTTCCTAAAATTTCCGGAAAAAAGGAAAATTATTTCCCAGACACCGGAAAATTTTCCGTCTTTTCTGGATATTTTGGAAATTTCCTACCCTAACAGTGTGTCCTCACCCCGAGGTCGCCGAAGTCGACGTCCCTCGTCACGAGGGCCAGCCCGTCGAACACCGCGGCCTTGGTGAACTTCGAGTGGTGGAGGGCGCCCGTCAGGTTGGCCACCAAGCGGCCCGGGGTGACGGTGCCTTCGGGGCACTGGGTCGCCTCTTTGAACAGAATGGTGAACGGGCCCTGCGGGGAACACACGTCCAAGCTGTTTATCGCCATCGCCCTGCCCTGGAGGTGCCCCCCGCAGAGGAAACGTTTTCCGAGGCGACGCCGAGGCGACCACGACGCCTGCAACGCGTAGGGTAGGCCAGCCCGCCAGGCAGCTGTGTGCAGACGGCGGCCCGCCCCGAGCGCCCAAGTGCAGGTAGCTCGGTGCCCAAGGTCTATAGGGCGAACGCCCACTCTGCGAGCACCTCCTTCAAGGCCCGCTAAATGATGGTCGAGTGGTCCGTCGAGCACTTACGGCGTAGGAATTGATGGAGGAACGCATCGTGGTGAGGGCGAACACTGCGGGCACGACGACGCAGAAGACGAGGACGGCCAGCGCCGCAATGCTCATGCTGAGCTCGCGGCTCGCGCGGGTCCACTAGGACCGGCGCGCCCGTCCTCGCATGTCCCATAGAACACGGCCCGGTACTACGAACTTGGCCCGGGCCGTGTTTGCTCTTCTGTGTAACTAATAACATCCAGCTCGTGCCATGCGCTTTAGTGACGCCAGTAACGTTCACTGCCCCCCCCCCCCCACCCGCCCAAACCCTTCCCCTTTCCAAATCTCTCTTTCTTTCCATCTCTCTCTTCCAAATGATGATTGACACCGGGTACACCTTTGCTACCAGGCCGCCGTGCCCCCTCCTAAGTGAGGGGACAAATACATTTGTGGGCAGCACACTCAACAAAGATGGCGGGTGTGGCACATAATCTGTGGTTTTCGCGGGAGGAAGGGGGGTGTTGGCGTTTTTATCTCCTCCACGCAGAATTTTGGAGAAACTGTCAAATGCATGCCCATGAACAGCTTTGGCTGAGCTCCGACGAATCCTCGCGGGGTTCCCAAGCACCGGGGGATATCTTGCCGTGTCCTGCCGCGATAGCATCTCCACCTGACGTGAGGACACAAAAACAATACAGGCGCAGAGCACGGAGAGCGGAACGCGAGGAGTGGAGCGCAGGGTACGCGGGGCACAAAGTGCAGGGTACAGGATGCAGGGCAGGGTGCAGGGTACAGGATGCAGGGCAGGGTGCAGGGTACAGGATGCAGGGCAGGGTGCAGGGCACAGGGTGCAGGGATCAGGGTGCAGGGCACATAGGGTGCAGCAGGGCACAGGATGCGGGGCGTGAGGTGCCCAGCGCAGCGCAGGGTGCGGAGCGCAGGCAGCGTAAGAAACAGAGAAACCACCCTTGCATCTTTAAAAGAAGGCATTTTGAGAGGAAACTGTGGCGGTCGGAGTCGCTCAGGGGGAGGGATGTCGCTCCCCTGCGAGGCGGAGGGTAGGCCGGCCGCTCGCGCGCCGCGTGCGCTCAGCGGCCTACCCCGCGCCTGCCTCCGGCCTGCGCCGGCCTGCGTCTGCCGGCCGCATGAATGGACGAATGGGACGCCGTTGCAGTGGGCAGGGCCGGGCCAACACCGTGGCGGCGGCGGTGGAGGGGCGGCGGGGGGCGGGCGAGGTGAGGCCGGCATCATGTGTCTCCACGGCCGCTGTCTGTCGCGCCGCGCCGCGCCAGCGCCAGCGCAGTCGCGGTCCGGGGTCCACCTCGCGCAGCGCCGCCGTGTCAGGAGGACCACGCCGTCCGGGACCACCACCACCACCACCACCACCACCAGCAGCAGCAGCAGCAGCAGCAGGACCACGCCGACGACGAGGAGGCGGAGGACAACCGACGCCTTCGGCGCACCCCCACACGCGTGATATGCCCAGCACCGCGTCGTCTCGCGGCACGTCGTTGACGCCACCCAGCACGACGCCGACGACGACATTGCACCGACCGTAGTGTCCACCACCACCAACGTGCTCCGCGGAGCTGCTGCAGCAACAGTGTTCATAGTGTCTTCCTCTGTGCCGTCGTAACTGTGTGAAGTGCATCGCTGTTTTGTTGCAAACAACGGCATCTGCTGGGATTTAAAGGATTTACAAACGAAGACGCCGGTGTGTGCGAGCCCCGCGGGGGCCGGGCCAGTTCGCCCCGCATCACACTGATGCTGCTGCGCGCTGCGTCTCTCTCTGCACCTCTTCGCATTGACTGGATTCTCTTCTCCGGACAGGTAAGCTTTGCGGGGGAGGAGGTGGATACAGTGGGGACTGGGGACAGGAGGGAAGAGGGGGGGGGGAGCACCAGCTCGTTGCGTTCGCGACCATAAAGTCGTCCTGTTGCGGACGTCGTTGTATGCAGGGCGCGCGGGGCGGTGCGGGGCGCGGGGCTCGAGCTTGCTTGAGCAGCATTTGTACCGTTAGCCGAAAGCTTTACATGCGCTCTCATCGGCATGCGCGCTCTCATCTTGCTCTCCTCTGCCGTGCAGCGGCGGCGAGGCCAGGAGACGACAAGCGACCCGAACCGACTCGACCGTCGCCCGCCCCGCGCAGTCAGTCAGTAAAACGGCTCTGAGCGGATAATCTTAACGGACTCCCGAAAAAGGGAACACGCGACAATAATAACCAACACACACAATGTAGTAGCGACCCACGAGCGCCGCGACCCGGCGTTGTTGCGACGAGGACGCCGCCGCCGAAAAAGAAACACCCCAATAAACGGCTTAGTCTCCTGGGCGTCTTGCTCCGCGAGGACTAGAAGGCGTTCAGGGGGGCCGGGGCGCGCCGGCGTCTGGTCTGCGCGGAATGGCCGCGGCCGGGCCCACACCCTGCCCCACATCCTGTGTGCGCTGGGGACGGGCCCGTACACGCTACGTGCGTGCGTGCGTGCGTGCGTGCGTGCGTGCGTGCGTGCCTGCGTGCGGTAAGCCTTTGCGCGCGGGGGCGCGGCGCAGTAGCAGCGTGAACGCAACACTACGCACACTCACACACGCACGCACTCACACACACACACACGTGAACAGTACACACTGTTGCACGTACATCAGGGACGAAACCGAGCGGAGAATAATAGAGGCGACAGGGCGGGTCTGGTGGTACTCCGAGTGTGTGTGTGTGAGTGTGTGTGTGTGCGTGTGTGTTCGTGCATCTTGGCTTCCCCTCCTCTCCCCTGCAAACACGGTGGCGTGTGGTAGTTTTGATGGCACAAGGCTGGCCAAGCACTTTAGTAGCGGACGCACGGGGGGACCCCGCCGCACCACGACGACGACAAGCTGCAGCTCCGGCATCGGCGTCCCCCATATAGAAAGTTTTGTGCAGCGAGCAGCATGGCGATGCAATCCGGTATTCGGTGTCATAGATTTTGTATATTACATTTTCGTCTCGATAGCTTGCACATTTTCCCAGTGCATCGTGGGCATGTCCGCGCCCGGCGGCGGCGCTGGACAACGCCGCCGACTCCAGCTGACACCCCGCTCCAGTAAGGATAAGGCTGTCCCCACCGCGGCGAGCTCCACGGCTGGCCCTCGGCGCAGGGCGTGCCCATAGGGCGTGGTGTGGTGGCGGCGGGGCGGGGTGAGGCGGGCGAGCGTGGGCGATCTGGTCCCACCACTCCCCCCCTCCCCTCCACCCCTGACCCACCCCCTCACCACTCTCTCCTCCCACCCCAGATACTAACGTCCCTCGACTTCCCAAGGCAATAATGAAATAACACAATATACGCGTTTACCTCTGCGTTATTTGGGCTGTGCCGGAAATCGCATTTAACTTCTTTACATGAAGAGGTGGCCGACCTGCATCGTCCACATATACAGGGTGGTCCACATAGACCCGTTCCTTTAATTTGCTTTTACTGTATCGGATGCGGGCGTGCGTTGTACACACGGATCCGTCAGGCTGAAAAAGGCTCGCTGAAACGAACGCTGCGCCTGTACGTAGGCAAACCGGTGGGTCATTTAA